AGGAAGGAAGGAAGGAAGGAAGGAAGGAAGGAAGGAAGGAAGGAAGGAAGGAAGTTACGTCAGCCCTGAACTGCGGCTACGAATTTCCTTCAGTACATTTTGCACAACTTTGCTTTCGAATCGCATTACTAAGCCATGGAAATGTACTTTCCACTTTAATATTCTGAATTCGTCACGTTGCATTCTTAGGCCAAAGATGGAGTTAATGAAGGAGACGATCGCCTTAATACTGTGCCCAAAGCAAACTTATTTATTTATTCAAATTCATTTGCCATCTATCTCGCCATGGCAGCTTACAATAATTAAAAGAAAGATGAAGGGAGTATCAAGAGAAGTGAAATAATAGAATAATAGAGCAATAAACAAGGCAAAAGGAACACATCAAAGAATATAGTGACATGATAACCAACTTCGCAATTCCCTGGATCAGTTGGCCGGGAACGATGGGAGTTGTGTTCACCCCTGTGCAAATAGCTGGAAGAAACACTGGAATTGTCTTCACGGTTTGAAGTTCTCACATGCCTCGCTCCACCGAGTCGAATTAGCAGAATTGGGGCGGGGGGGGAGGTTATTTTGGCTGCTAAGTTGACTCAAAGTGAGAAGGTGCCAGCCAGCCATTTTATGCCAGTTTAGGAGGGGTGTGTGTGTGTCTCACACTTTTTGTGTTAAGAGATGCCTCCTCTCCCAAGATTAGCCCAGAAAAGCCCTCAAATTGGACGCTCACCGATCCAACAGAGCCAGCAGCGCCAACCGGTCGTAGCGAACTCGCATCCAGTGCCCGGGAAGAAGCCAAAATTTGTAGTATTGTCGAGGGTGGCACTTATCCTCGATCATGAGGGTGTTTTCTTGGGACTCGTGCAGGGATTCTTGGTCCAGAAGATCAAACTGGGAAAAGAAAAGAAACAATGGAAACGTTTCTATTCCCCTTCACATCCTCAACACAATAGAAAATATAGTATAGGCGAGTGTTTCTTAAATCTTCCAGAGGTGGGGACTTCAACTCCCAGAAGTCCTCAGCTGGCAACACCAACACGGGTAATGAAACATCTGCTAGGAAACAACCAAGCTCAGAAAGCACCAAGGATCCGTCATTTCTAACCACAATATTCTCTTTGATTTGTTCCAAAGGGGTCC